CATAAAATCAGTAATCATATATGTTATTTTACAAGATACATAGATATTTAATAAGATTTGCCATATGAACGTTTATGTGGACAATTTCTTTGGATAAACATATGATAGTTTTTTTTCTTAAAAAGTACAATATCTATTTTTTTAATTACATATTAGATAATCCTAAATTTAGGCAAATATCAAAATTATTCAAATTAAAATTGCAAGCCAAATCAATCTAGAGATATGTTTTTTAAAACTAAAAATATAAAATATGGATTTTATCTTCATAATGACTAATTTTAGTGTTTTACCAAATAATCTTATTTAATAAATTATTTAATTATGAAAATCTTGCAATATATTTAAAAATTATAAAGATTAAGCTTATTCAAATCTTTGATTTGAATCAAACAAAAATTATCATTTAAAAAATTTATGTAATGTATTAAAAATTCAAATAACCTTTTCATATTAAATCTCTAAATAATAGGATCATCAAAAGGATTACGTTCATCTCAACTCTAACTATCAAATTTATATTTCAAATATAGATGCAAGAAATTTGAGTTCATCTTTATCACTTATTATAATCTTTTTAAATTTTAAAAAAAATAATTTGAACTTTTTCAAGTATATTCTATTACCATTAAAATTTATTTTTTGATTTCAACTTTCTTTTTCCAAAATATATTCTATTATTATTGCAATTTTGTGGTAAAAATAGTATTTTTTTCACACATCTCCTAACATTTTTTCATATTTTGTATTAAGATTTTATCAAAATTACAAAAGTGCAAATATGCCAATACTTTTTTTATTATTTAATTTATCATTCGATAATGTATATGTTTTTGTTCTTTTAAGAAAGACATCTAACTCATTTTTATTTGATTTAAATTTGCAAGTGTACAAATATTATTGTAAATAAAGATAATGCAAAGTGAAAACATATCATTTTTTTCTTCTTCTTCTTTTTCTAAAAAGTTTATTTTTATAACAAGTTAGTCAAGTATATAAATTTTATAAAGTTACTACAAATTTTGAATATTTGAATATAACATTGGAAAGAATATTAATTTGTATCTATATATATATTAAGTAAGTAAAACTATCCAATGCATTGCAAGGGTCGCAATCTAATAATATAATATTTAATGAAAAGATATCCAAATATATATTAATTAAAAATATGTTTTGTAGTATTTTCTCAAAAAAATTAATTTTACCTAAAATTGTCAAATAAGAAGTAAATTTCCAAAATATATCTTTATACAAGAACAATTCAATCAAATTCATTTAAACCAAATCCCTTAAGTTTCTAACATAATAAAGTAAGAATTAATCCAAAAGAATTTTAGAAATATTGAAATTTCAAATTTTGTACTATCATTTAGTCTACTTTGACCTCTTGCATCTAACACCATATGTCAAATCCAAAAGTCTAATTGATTTCAAATCGAAGTCTACAAATCATACTTTAAAACTAAAATTTAGTGCAGAAGAAAAAGTGGGGGGAATCACATTTTAAGATGACCAAAATGACCAAAATTTAAAAACTAATCACTGGGCTTGGTCTTGGTATTGTACTTAATATCTATAATCGATTCTTAATTTAGTTTAAAAATTAATAGTGACTCCTAATATTGTCTTAAGTCATAATATTGGATTTGATTAAAGTTTGAATTCATAGGAGTCTCACCCACACACATAAGTATAAATTTCTTTTTGGCCAAAAACAAAATATAGTTCTAGTTGAAAACCATCAAAAATTTAAAAAGCATGAAATTTTATATAGCTAATATTCAATATTGTAACATATAAATCTGAAAACTTGATCGTTAGACACTAAATTAAAAATCATCACTAATATTTTTTTTAAGTGTAATTGATCACTTAAATAAATATATTTCTTCTAAGAAAATTCTAAACTTAACTAAGACCTTTTAAAAGGAATAAGTTTTGATTTTCTTATAAGTATTAGATTTAGGAGTTTAAATATGTGTGAGGAACGTATTGTCCCTACGATGCCCATTAAAAGATAGTACCAATTATTTTTAAATCATCATAAAGGTTTTCTCTACATGATCTTTTCATTAAATTTTAATATTTAAGTATTGAAATTTTTTTTTTACATTCTCCATCAATATTGTAGAATTCTTAAATTTTTTTTCTCATTTCAACTGTATTCAAGAATCACATTCGTTTTTTTGAAAATGTTCCATCATTAGATTTAATAAATATTTTATGAGAGAGGCTTAAATTTTAATTCTTATAATCTATCTTTGTTTCTTGGGTTTTTATTTTATTTTATTGAAAATATACTTAATTTTTTTACTATTAAGTCAAATTTAGAAATATTTTCTTACCTAAAAATTTCTTTAAAAAATTCATTTGTAATTATTAAGAATTTCATCCTTAGTTTTTATTATAAGGGTTTCATTATTTCTAATCATCTTTTTTTTTTTAACGTTCTATATTCTATTAAAATATATAAAAAATTTTCATCATTTAAGTCAAATTTAAAAATATGTTTTCCCATTAAAAAATTAGAAAATCAAGCAATTGTAATTATTAAAAATTCCAACATCAATTTTATTTAATTGACAAAGTTGTATTTTTTTTAAGCCTGAAAATTAATATCAATTATTCATATCAAAATTTTATCTAAATGTTTTTACCATTTTGGTTAAATATAGAAAACAATTTCTCACCAAAAAGTTTTTAGGAAATAAACAAATTATGATTTCTAAGAATTTCATCATTGAATTTTTATTTACTTTCAAAATTTTATAAAGTTATATTTTATTTAGTTTGAAAATAAACATCAATATTTATTATCAAAATTTTATCTAAATATTTTTATCATTTGGGACAAATTTAGAAAAAAAAACTTTTCATTTAAAATTTTTTTAAAAAATCAACCAATTATGAATTTTTAGAATTTAATTGACAAAGTTGTATTTTTTAAGCTTGAAAATAAATATCAACTATTAATATTTAAATTTTATCTATATTTCTATATCATTTGAGTTAAATTTAAAAAAATCTCTTACTTACAAATTTTTTAAGAAATCAACCAATGATTTCTAAAAATTTTACTATTGGATTTTTATTTACTTTCAAAATTTTATAAAATAATATTTTATTTTATTTAGTTTAAAAATAAACATCTATTATTATTATCAAAGTTTTATTTAAATTTTTTACCATTTTGGATAAATTTAAAAAAAAATTTCTTATCTAAAAATTTTAAAAACCAACCAATCATGATTTTTTAGAATTTTATTATTGAATTAATTATTTTTTACTTTCAAATTTTTATTAAAATTTATATGATGAAAATTAAATTTACAAATTAAATTTTAACCTTTATCTTTATCTTTATTTTTATTAAATACTTAAAAATTAATATTATAAATAACTCTTAAATTATAATAAAATATTTAATAAAATATTTAAATTTTAAAAATATTTAATTTAATATTTAAATTATACTATATTAATTAATTTGATACTTTCCATCACTATTTGACTCACTTCTACGATTTGACAGACGCGGTCAGTACACTTCAATGAGTTAGGGAAGTTTACTCATGGAACCCGCTGGAGTTGGGGATTGGATTTTTTTTTTTTCATTTACCTATTAATATTGCTAAGAAATTAATTTTTATTTAGATTAGCACTCAAAAGAGAAAGGACAACTATACAGTTCAGGACACCTTAAGTTGAATGCCAACACCTTTCAGTAATGGATGAAGAAAGATTCGGGGTTGTTTATAAAGATTCAACAGACTGATTGGTTGGGAAGGTCGGCTATTCAAGTCAATCAAACGTGCTAACTTCAACTCGACAAATTCAAGCAACTCAAGAAAGAAATTGATTCTTTGAGTTGAGTCCTTTTCTACGTCAAATCAATAACAACAATCCCGGTTCAAAGGCTTGATCCACTTTGTAATCATGGATCATCAACAAATCCCTAAATGCTTCTTTATACTGTCGCCACGGAAAAGGTTCAGGTAGGGAGAACTCTTAGATTCCCAAGTTTAACTTTATGAAAATGAACCGCCACCTATGTTGTGTCCTTCCTTCTAAAGCATTCCGGCATTATTCCTGGTCTCACCCTGTGAAGCAAAGTCGGACAAGGGGAAAAGACATGGAATTGATAGGGAACCATAGCCAAGTGGCTAAGGCTAGAGTCTGCAAAACTTCTATTCGTCGGTTCGAATCCGACCGCTTCCTACAACGCCATCCTTTTTTTTACATGGTTTTTGGATAGAACGGGTCTCTTGATCAAAACCCCTTTTCGATCGAGGCTAACCCACTAGAACCGGATCTCGAATCTGTAAAAGAGGTTATATTGAACAGACTTCTCGTGCATCGACTAGGCCAAAGATATCAGCCAGTTTCAAATAAAAAAAATCAACCGGATTCTTTTTCTAAAAGATGAAATTGTTACGAGGATGTCCCAATTGGATTTAAACTCGTACTGAGATCAGCACCGAAAGGAGGATTCCTAGCTTGAAATTAATCATTAGAAATAAATATTATATTAGTTAATAAATTTTTAAAAAATTAAATATTATTAAAATTTTTTAAATTTCATGTATTATATTAAATTTGTTGTTATTATTAAGGATCCATTCATGCCCACTAATTAAAACATGTAAATAAAAGAAACAAATAAGTAAGCAAGTAACCAAATAACAAAACAAAATAAAAATAAAACTAAAAATAAGAATACAGCAAAATTACCAAACCCATCAATCAAGAGAGGGATCATATGAATATACATAATGTAGGTCCAAGTAACATAATTTTTATTTAAAATTGATAATTTATGTATTTATATAAAATATTAAAATTTATATATTATATTATTTTTATATAAAAATTATATATAATAATTAATATCAATAAAAAATATATTTAATTATTTTTAAAATTTTAAATAATATTATTTTTATATATTATTTTTATTACATTGTATCATATTTTAAATCGTTAGATTTAATTTTTACCGTCAGTTCCCTACCAATCCTGTCGCAAAGTCTCCCCTGGTAGGAAGAGGTTTGTGTCTTTCCCGGTGACAGCTGGCCCCACTTTTGCCTTCTTTCTATCTTTGTTTCATAATGCAAGTCAGTCCCATTGATTAGGATATCCCAGGGAGCTTTATTCCACCCTGAAGACAACTGCCAAGGGAACTCTCATGGAGAGGTAATGTTGAGTCTCTTTGGTAATTTTGCTTACCTTCATGGCTTTCTAGGGCATGATCATGACTCACAAATCTCAAGCCATTAACCCTTCTATGCTCGGATAAACGTAGTAGATCTGAATCTTCACTACCAGCTCTTAAACAATCCCTCCTCTCCGGAGTAGATAAAGATATCCTCTCAGATGAAGACCTCTGTTGGTCCCAATCATAGTCTCGTGCATCATGAAACCTTTCTTGATCAACATCAGTGATGGCATCGTAAGTAGCAGAGTGATTTTCACACTACTCCTTTCACGTTCTCTCACTATTCCATATTGATCACCATGTTCATCTGAAGCATGGACTTGATGCAAGCGATTGGAACAGTCTACAGAGCCACCATTATTTGTTCCTTTGCGTTGAGGAAATTCCACCTCCGAACCTGTAGAACGTTGCACCTTTCTTCTTAATACCAGTACCACTCCTAACGAGAGCAGCTTCAACTTTTAGACCAGGTTTACCTTGAACTACTCCAACTGTCTTTGCAACATTGTTTGAGGAAACTTCTGCAACTGAGATATTTCATAGGCACCAAAAACCCATGTTCAAAGAACGAGGCTTAGTAACAGTGGTAACTTGCGCCGAATTTTGTTTCTTGTTTTTCTCCCCACTTCAAACTTCTTTCCTTCCTCTAACTCTTCTTAATTTTTTTTATTCTCCCTTTTACTCTCTCTTTTTCGCCCCTTTCTGCTGTTGATTCTGGGTTATTTTGTAGGGATGCGTCCTAATAGATGGAGTCAAAAATCAAAACAATTTCGGTTCCAGGAAAATTGCTCAATTTTATCTTTTAAGGAATTTAATCTCAACAGCAATTTTATCTTCAAACGATTCAATCCCAATCTCGTTTGGATTTTCTCAAAGAAAAAAATTTTTTTTTTCGATTTTTCGATTTTTTATGCTTTTTCAATTTTTGATTTTCTAATGAAAAACTAATAAAAATAAAAAATGCTAAAGTAAAAGAAATATAAATAAATAAATAAAACAGAACATCTTATTTTGGGCTTGAAATCCAAAATAGAGCAAACCCAATTATTGGCTAACTAAAGCCAAATTTGCATTTTACAAGCCCACAACAACAATATCGATGGATCAAACCTTGAAATTATGTATCAAAATTCAAATGCATTTTAAATGATTTTAGATAAATTAAAGTGTCCACAATCACACACCCTAGCTCTCTAACTTGGTGATTTACTTTATGGTACATGGTGAACCTTAAGTCACGCACATGGAGCAAGTTCTACACACATCTATTGACAACAAATTTGTTTGTTTGGCCACGACAAAACATATCGCTTGTTAAAATTATAACAACTCAGATAAGCTTGAAATCTTATATAACTAATACTCACACACTCTTAGCCTTTTTTTTTCTTTTTGCATCACACCCTAACTTTGCCATGTGGGAGAGCCTACATATCAATATATTTAAGGATGATCAAATTACAACAGTCCAAAACATTAAAAAATAAAAAAAGTATTTTCGATGAAAATAATTTTGTTGTAATATTACATTACCAATGAAGTAAATTTTATGGACTTTAACACAAATACCAACAAAATTTTTGAAAACTAACACTTTTATAACTTTATGTGACAATAATATGTTAAAAAACTAATAATTGCATTTAACATTATCTTAATGCTTATTGTATATGTGATGTTGGGATTTAAACATAACTGAGTCACTTATATGTAGCAAAATTTTAAGACTTTTCAATCCTAATGATCAAGCATTGATATCATGATATACAACAAGCATACAATCTGGGTAAGGTGTAGAATTTTGTTTACAAAGTTTCTTCCTTTAATTCAAACACATTTTCTCCAAGATCACTAACCTTAGTTGTCACAAACCTTCAAATGTCCAAGTGTCCAACTTCTAATAATAGTCTACACGAACTTGGAGTGAAAGAACCTTTAAAGAATGAGAAGAATCCCCAGGTCAAAATAGTATGCTACTAGTGTATTACGATAGCAACCCTTATCTCTTTAATTTTCTAGGGTTTGTCAATACTTGATATTAGAAAATAGGATGTGTTATGTATATTACAAGGTCCAACCATATGATCTTTAAATAGAAAAGTGCCAAGCCATTGTCCTAATTCTAGTAGGATTAATGCCTTTGACTATTTCCAAATTACTTGATGTTCTCGATATCTTTTTGTTCAACATTTTTGAATTGTGTGACATTAATTTACTCTTTCATTGAATGGAAAACCCGATTGGACTATGAACTACATTAGGCCTTTGCTTGATAAGTAAATTGAGATGATGCATTTTTAGCATGAGTTGTAAAAAAAATGAAAAATAAAAAATTGATTATAACATCATGCATGTGACATATTCAAATTATTCTAAATATTAAAAAGAAAAGAAAATCTTGCCCCGAAAATTGTTATTTAATGGAAGTACCCATATTTGATATGACAAATAGCTATATTTCATTTCTATTTTACAAAAATAAAATTGTCTATTTGTTATACCTTTCGAGACTATTAATTTTTCTTAAACGAACTCTAACTAAGGATCATCATAGCAGGCAATTACAAGTGGGGATATTTTCAAAAGAAAAAATTGCATCTTATGTCAAAAAGAGAATGCTTTATGTAAATTAGCAATTTTAAAGTAAACTAAGTTCAAAAAATTTTAAAATTTTGTCAAAAATGGAAGCATGAAAGAAAAAGAAATGATGAAAAAATGATGAAAAACCATGCTTTTAAAAAAGGAAAAATAACTTTAGAAAAATAAATTATCCTTAGTTTGATTACTTTTAAACACATAGTTTAGGCTTATCTATCTTTTTTTTTAGAACTTCAAACACTGGTTTACATTACATATTTTGAAAAGTCCATTTTGATCACATTTTATATATCTAAATTGAAAAACTTTTACTTGGGAAATTATTATGACTATTCGATTTATGATGAATTTTGGGTTCTTTAATGCATAGTGGAATAATCAATAAAAAAGGAAAAAAAGTGAAAAAGAAGAAAAGAATGAAGCTCTAAGATAAAAACTAGAAAGGGTAGTCTAAAACAATATTGAAAATTTAAAAGCAACTTATGAAATTTTCTATATGATTATATCAAAGTTAAAGCAAGAAGCATGATGGGATGACATTTTAAAAATCATTCAAAACCTATGAGCAATTCAAGAAGATCAACTTCACTTTAAATATTTATTTCGAAGGTTGAACTATTTTTTTCTTTTCCTAAAATTTTGAGCCTTTTCTTGCTCTTGATATTTATTAAAATGCTATATCAAGAAGTTAGGAGAATGCCAAAATGGATTGAGCTTTAAATTCTTTTGTGAAAAATTGATTTTCAAAGAGAATCAGCTTTCCATTTGTGAGCCTGGTCGAAGAAACATTGATATTATCCTTTTTAGTATCTCTTGACAAATAAAATCTTGATATGTCAAACCATCTCGTCTATTTGGAAAGACTAAGCTATGATTAACTTTATTAATTCTCGATAGTAATCATTAATTTTTAAAAACTTTTATCACATATTTAGGAAGAATGAATAATTTATTCATTTTTCTTTTTGATCATGAAAAATAGTTATATGAAACAATTTTTTGGTGTCATTTGATAAGTTTAGGATGATAATATGAATATCTTAATGAAATGAAGTTCTTATGACCTTTTAGGGCAAATATTGTTGCCACTTTTTTAGCACTTTTGAAAAAAAAACATTAAAATTTGAATTGTTGCAAATATGAATGAGAGATGGATGATTTCCCAAACCAATAAGATAAGAGTGATCTTTATAGGACAAAAAAGATACATTGTTTTGATTATTGCATTTGCACCATTATTTGGATCATGCATGTGCTTCATTTTATGACCATTTAAAATTTTGTCTGGATTGTTGCATTTGCATTATTGTTCAAATCATGCATTTGCATCATTTAATAAGTATTTGAATTATTATTTGGACTAATAAATTTTCATCATTTGCATGGATCATTGTATTTGTATTTTTAAAATAAGACATTTTATATCTTGGTGAATAATACTTGTATCTAAGTCATTGGATTTGATAAGAAACATTTGCATTTATATTAATGATATAAACGTTGCATATGCATCTTGAATATGATACATTTGCATTCACATATCATTTTTAGAGAATGGCATTTTCATGTTTGCAAGAATTAAATAGTAGAAGAAAAAATAAAAGAAAATACTCAAGCAGTGTAAAGAAACTAAAACAACAGCTAGTATGTATTTGAACATAAGAAAATTTCAAAGAAAAAAATTCAACAAGTGATCATATGTTGAAAAAGAACTTCATCTAAGCAAGAAAAACCTAGATCTCTGACTTAGCTACCTAAATTAAGAAGAGAATTGTATGAATGAACAACAAAATTAGTTCATTAAACTTAAATTCAAAATTAGTGCAAAATTTGAAAAAACAGCACATGTACAACAAAAATTAACCAAATAGCACTTAAAAATGTGAAATAAATTGCATAAAATAAAAATTTACAAGGTAACTCATAAAACTCAAGATCGAAATAAGAAAAAAATGTAAACATATCGTCAAAGTAGATAAAAGTTCATACCAAACTAGTTGATTAGAACTGGAACTGCATCTATCACTTTCATTCAATCGTATCTTCCAAGTTTGATTTGGAATGTTATGGTGTGAGTTTGAAGCTAAATTTTTACTATGTTGTATCTAATTAAATTACAAAAACTATTAAAATAATTTGAGTAAAAAAAAGTAAGATTTGAATGAGATACGTTGTAAAAATCGTAGGTACATTAGAATTGGTAAATTCAAAATTAGATTTGAGTATCAATGAGAAATCATTAGATTTAAGCTAGAAACTAATTCAAATGTAAATTTTATTGAAATATTTTGAAAGAACACTTAAGAAATAGTAATACTGTAATGAAATTGTAATGAAATTCAAATGAAAAACACTAGAAATAAAGTTTTGGCTAATAAGAAGATTTAAAGTGTAGGAAAGTAAATAACTAAAAATGTAAATCCTAATCTAAATGCCTCTTCTAATTGCCAGCTCTCTCCCCTTATTTATAGTTAGAGGGAAGAATTTTAAGGTGTAAAAAAAAATCCAAAAAAGTATCCCAACATAAGGGTTTCTAAAGCCTTCTTTCTCATTGCCTTCGAGGTTGGGTGCATGGTTAGTGGTGCTGGGCTGTTTCAATAGCTTTCCACTTTCATTCTTTCATGTTGTTTGTTACTTTAACAAAGTCAAAATAACAACCAATTACAGCCACCTAAATTGCCACATTAGTCCCTAGCATTTGGTGCACTTAAACTAGCTTATGACGTCTAAAGGCATGCTTTTATCCTATTTTCCCATACACCAACATCCATGCCTTTCTTGTATGCTTCATCCATTTTTTTTCCACAAAATTTTTGAACACTTTGTGAACATTTTTATCCTTCATTTTACTAAAAGATGACTATGAAAAAATACTCAAAAATTATGTAAAAAAAAAAAAACTCCATAAGTGTTAATTTTGCATATTGACACTAATTTAGGCCACTTGACAAATTACATAAAAAATCCTTCAAATTTGTATCAAAATTGATCAAAATTTCTCATTTTCATAATTTGTACTTACATGTGAGATAATTGTGCTTTTTAAAGTATTTTTGCCAAGAAATGCCAAAGACCAAGCTAAGATATAAGTCAAATTGCACTAAACTTGAGCATAAAAAAGCTAAAATTTAATTGCAATCAAAAGCAAGGTAATTGCGGCATTTCATTTTACTTTTTTCCAATATGGCTTTTCTTCTTGTGGAGTAATAGTTTGAATTTTTTGTAGTTGAGAAAAATGGATTTGACCTCCAATCATTTTAAATATAGATGAAAGTGATTTATTACTGGAACAGATAAGAGCCAAGGTTAGACCTAGTTCCATTAATAGTTGACATTGTTTTTATTTCCTGTTTTAAATGTGGGAAATGCATTTGTTTGATAAACTGACAAGCTAATTTTGGTACAAATTCTCCAAATTCTAATATATACTTACAATTTTTTTTTATTTCACAAATATGACTATTTTTTTAAAAAATTAATAATTGAGTTGTTGTGATTACATAATTAGATCTTTATTAATTTACTTTTTTTTTAGAGAGACAAGGAACTTTATGAGAATTGGAAACTTTATATTACTATTAAATTTGAGTTATGTTTTTTAGTTTTAACATTTAATATTAGGTCACAAAGGAGAATTTTGAGTTGGCATTGGTAGAACACATGCTAG